ATAGATCGGCAGTAAAAAATGTTCAGGTTTATCAGAGAGCGCTGCTGCCCGGTCTCTGACATATGTGTAGTCCCTTAGTCGGGTATACGAACCCGCGGGAAAAGTAGTGGCAGTGACAACGGTATTCTACACCATCACTTGCCACTGATAGTAGAGACAATTTAAACCTAGGGAGCGCCGTAGGCAAGTATCTCATAGGCGCTCCTAATAGGGTAGATGACTAATTTTTATTTCAATATCCGTCTGGTACATTATTTTCAAACATTAGACACGTATTTTTATTTTCTTACAGAAACAAATACTTTCTATTCGACGATATATTGATTTGAATTGTCGCGTGACGTCACTTCTACGTACGTTTTATACTAAGAAATGACGTTTTAGCCCCCACTCCTAAACATTGAATCGTTTTATGAAAGTACTAGCTTTTACCCGTGGCTTCGCTCGCGTCACAAAAGGATAAAAAGCAGCCAATGTGACATATATCAATACACACAGCGCCATCTATACCAATAATTAAGTTTTTCCTCGAGAATATCAAATTTTTCCGGGATAAAAAGTACCCTATTATTTAATCCGGACTTCTAACTTTACGTCTGCAAAAATTCAAAGCAATCGGCTTAGTAGTTACGGCTTGAAAGCGGAACAAACAAACAAACTCACTTTCCGGTTTATATTATTATAGTAAGGATTGTTTTCTTATACGACAAAATAAAAAATACGTGTCTAATATTTTTTCATTACCTAACTGACGGACCAATTAGATTTTTAATTTTCATACCCCGTCATCGTACCTATTTTTTTGTCCCCGCCGTCACTCTATGTGCAGTTGGGCATGCGGGTCTCGCGGCGCCCCTCTGTAACCTGGCGCCCTAGGCTCTAATTTACCTCAGAGATAATACGGCCCTGGGTGCTTACTCTTGAATCCAATTCCGATCGATCGACATTGATATTGTGAAATTTCGTACTGTTGAGTTGCAACACTGTTGACTGCACGGTTGGTGCGGTGGCTGGGCAACCGGCTGCAGTGCAAAGTGTCGCGGGTTCGATTCCCGGACGGAATAACTCTTTGTGTGATCCACAAATTTTTGTTTCGGGTCTGGGTGTCATTGTGTATGTGAACTTGTATGTTTGTAAACGCACTCACGACACAGGAGAAAATACTAGTGTTACGTTACGTATACGTTGCCCCAACGTATTTAAAAAAAAACACTAGCGCACATTGCATCCGTATTGCGCGGATATTGAATGAAGTAAATGGTATTGAGTTTAACTTCATATTTCGTACTCTGAATGCTATTATAACAGCTACGATAGGGGTTGTATAATTTTGATATTGTTGATAATAATTATTGAGTTTTAATTGGATTGAAATTGAATTGACATTGAGATTGGTTTCAAGAGTAAGCACCCTGGCCAAAAGACAGGTGCCTACTGATCTATTATAGATATATATATATATATATATTTATATATATATATTATATTATTACAGATTATATATATATATATATATAAAAGAACGTTGTGTTAGTTACACCACTTACATAACTCAAGAATGGCAGAATAGATTTGGCTGAAAATTTGTGGGGAGGTAGCTTAGAACCAGGAGACGGACATAGGATACTTTTTACCCAATTCATTTTTTTACTTTTTACCGAAAATCACGAACGGGGACGGGAAAAAATGGGATTACGCGTACGAAGTCGCGGGCAGAAGCTAATACTAGTATAAAATATATTTAATATCAAAGTCAAAGTCAAAGTCAAAATCATTTATTTCAATTAGGCCAGAATGGCACTTTTGAACGTCAACAAAAACAAAAATTTAAAGTGAAGCTATTTGCTCATTCCAAGGTGTAGATTCCTATGGAGAAGAACGAGCAAGAAACTCCATAGGTTACTCTTTTTCAATCAGGTTCACAATACAATTTACTAGTTACATAGTTTATATACTCACATCATCGCAGTATTGGCATGGAAATAACTCCAGGCCATGGGTCGCGACGTGATCTCTGAACTTGTCAGAATCTCCAAAGGACATACCACACGCATCGCACATCAAACAGGACTCTTCTGCTGTATCCGCTACGTTAGAGAAGGGATGATTAATAATTGATATTCATAGATTTATATCTATACTTGGAATATGATAGTAGATTATGTAACGGTATTAAACGGCCTACGACTGCCTCGTTGGCCGAGTGGTCGCAAGTGCGACTGCCGGGCAAGAGGTCTCGGGTTCGATACCCGGGTCGGGCAAAGTATTACTGGGTTTTTAAAAATCTCAGTAGTAGCACGGAGTCTGGAAATGGGCCCGGTATATGGCAATAGGCTCACCCCCTATTACATGGAACTTATAACATAATTAGTGAAAATTGGGTGTTACATCGTACAGTGGCATAATGTGCCCCTCTGCCTACCCCTTCGGGGATAAAAGGCGTGATGTTATGTTATGTGCACATAACTTCTTGTAGATTCGTATCCCTATAATCTAATTTTGCCACAACTATCTCCATTATGGATATGAAACGTATTATGTTATATTGTTTTGTTTTCATTTCACTGTCGATAAATTTTAATAGCAATGGTAGGTAAGTACCTACAGAGCCTGTAGAAATTACACCCGCTGGAAGAGCAGGGTCTGTGATAACATGCAGATAGGTATTCAACTCTATTTCAAAGTTATAGGTACAGTCAAAGGTCAAAAGTCCACTGCCACCGTGAGTGATGTTCACATGGCAATGCGTAAGTAATTTCATATGTATGCATGTATGTCTTACGGTGGCACTGGACTTTTGACCTTTGACCGTACATACCTTCGTCCTTCGGCTCCAGTTCAGCTTTTAAAGCGTCATCCATTACAATAGATGAGCTCGCATGAGGTTCTGATTTCATTTTTTTCGACTCCCTCGGTTCAAAATAAGGGCACGCTATAATATCAAACATAATTACAATATTTTTAAAAGCGACTATGAATTCTTAGTCTATGATTTTATATTAATAAGTCTCTGAGTCTATGACTTTTATTTTTCTAAGATTATTTAAGACCCCACTGACAAGTGAGGAAACCTGGCCTTATAATTTCTAATTATAAGTTTGAAATCGCCAACCCGCATTGAGCAAGCGTGGTGATTAATGCTCAAACCTTATCTGTGTGAGAAGAAGGCCTTTGGTCAGCAGTGGACACTTATAGACTGTTGCTGATGAAGATGACCACTTAGTTTATTTCTGTTACTTCTGAGAGTATAGAAAAAACTAAAATAACTTTGTATCACCTCAAGATTTTCTTCACCGTATGTCAGTGGTGTCTAAATAATTTTAGAAATTAAATATTCCTTAATAGGGATGATGACAGGGTATGAAAATTAAAAATCTAATTAGTCCGTCAGTTAATGAAAAAATATTAGACACGTATTTTTTTATTTTGTCGTATAATAAAACAATACTTAGATAAAACGAATCAAAGTTTAGCAGTGGGGGCTTAAAACTCCCTTTCTACGTATGTATAAAATGTACATAGAAGTGACGTCACATGACATTTCAAATCAATATATCGCCAAAATTATTCGTTTCAGTAAGAAAATAAAAAATACGTGTCTAATGATTTAAAATAATCTACTAGACGGGCATTAAAATAAAAATTAGGCATCTACCCTATTCTCAAAGCCTTGCCCTTTGAAGATCGGTAGGTAATGCACTTGTAACTCCTCGTGTTGCGGGCGTCAGGGAACAGTGCCGATTGCTTACCATCAGGTGATCTCTCTGCTCGTCTATCACCCTATTATATTATATCATAAAAGAAGTTCCAGAGTCTGGTTTCCTGAAGGGTATAACCTGGGAGTCTACAAGTCCTGAGTGAATAGGTTGCTTATGACCGCATCATCGCTTGCCACCAGGCGAGATAGTGGACAAACGTTATCGAACCATTAATTATTATAAAATATATATAGAATGTACAGTTTGGCAAAAAAGAATTTGCACTGTGACAGATGGAACTAATATTGACTTGGACTGAAGCACCCACTTCGGACCATATCCCATGAATAGCAAAAAAGAATTTGCACTGTGACAGATGGAACTAATATTGACTTGGACTGAAGCACCCACTTCGGACCATATCCCATGAATAAACAATAATCTGAACATAGAAGGTACCTCCTCTTTTTTAACTCGATAAAAATAACAAATATCAAAACTGCCACAGGGACGATACTAGCTACCTCAATGGGGATGATGACAGGGTATGAAAATTAAAAATATAATTAGTCCGTAAGTTAGGTAATGAAAAAATATTAGACAAGTATTTTTTTATTTTGTCGTATAATAAAACAATACTTAGATAAAACGAATCAAAGTATAGGAGTGGGGGCTAAAACGTCATTTCTTAGTATAAAATGTACTGAGAAGTGACGTCACGCGACATTTCAAATCAATATATCTTCGAAACTATTCGTTTCTGTGAGAAAAGAAAAAATACGTGTCTAATGTTTTTAAATAATCTACCAGACGGACATTAAAATAAAAATTAGTCGTCTACCCTATTAGGGGGCGTTCATAAATTACGTGAGATGTTTAAGGTGGGGAGAGGGTAGACTCAAATCTCATCTAATCTTACGTTGGAGAGAGGGGGTGTCGGCAAATATAACGTAATTTTTTTTATGATTAAACCAAAAAACATATACTATTTTAGTCCATTTAATCCAGATTGTACGTGCTTAAGATTAAATTGTACATGCATATGTTTTATACGTATAGTATTCTATTGTTACATTTTTATTACACTCATAACTATCAGCAATATTGATTACAAGTCTAAACTAGTCGTAAACAAAAGCACGAAGCAATTATTTGTTAAATAAAATCTCACGAAATCTCACCAGGGGGAGGTAGGGAGAGAAAATTAAAAAAAAACACCTCACGTAATTTATGGACGGGCCCCTTATTTCAATTTTTTTGCCAAGCTGTATATTAGGTACTTACGCCCATGTCCAACGTGTGTTTTGTAAAATGTAACAAGCACACGGTCCATTGTTTCCGTAACTATCATATGAGCAGGGCAAGCCTTTCCCGTCTTATATATTTGTCTTTCCGGAGCTGGGCGCTTGCCTTTTCCCTAAAAGCGGTCAGGTTTGGTCAGGGATGGATTAAAACTAGTAAGCGCTCTAAGCAAGTATCTCATGGGCGCCCGTAAGTTTTTTCGCGCCACCGTCACTATATGAGTCTAGCGGCGCCCATCTTAAACCTGGCGCCCAGCACTTGCCTTGGGGATACCTAATACGGCTCTGAGTTTGGTTTAAATTTAAGACATTTTTGTTACAATAGAAAATCGTCAAAGCATTTATTTTAATCAATCCTTAAATAGGCACTTTTGAAACGTCAAAATTGATTCGCATGGATAAGAACTAGCAAGGGACTCGATCAACAACAAATCAATCCTCCCTCTCTGGGGAGGAAGTGTCAGACTCTTACTGACTAACACCACCCCATTCCTACTTCTGGTACGTGCCGGACCCCTGGCTGTTAAGTCTTCCGCGGCTTCGGAAAACGAGGAGTGTACCAAAATCTCTATGAGTAACAGTTTCGGAGATCTCATTTTAGAAGGATCAGACGTGTATCAGAGGACGCTGCTGCTCAGTCTTTGTCAAAGCCCCTTATTCTCGGGTATACGGCACCCGCACCCTCTGTTCCAAATTTCCTCTCGATCCTTACAGCCGTTTTAACAAGATTAAGTAACAAGCATACACACTAACACAAACTTTTGCATTTTTTATATTATTATAGGAAGACCATAGCTTCTGCCCGCGGCTTCGTCCACGTTCCCATGGCCTATGTGTTGTTCAAAACCATAATATACCCCTGTTCCAAATTTCATCTCGATCCCTTTTTTTTAAGGGGGGAAAATCATCGAATGACTCCTCCCGCCTGGGTGAGGCGGGAGGGAGTGTCAGACTCTTACTGACTAAAAACCACCCCGTTCCTTCTCCTGCACTTCGAGCCGGAGCCCCGGTTACCCGTTAGGTTCTCCGCGACTCGATCCCTTCAGCCATTTTGACGAGATTGAGTAACAAACATACACACAAACTTTCGTGATTATAATATTAGTAAGACTGCCTCGTTGGCCGCGTGGTTGCAAGTGCGACTGCCGTGCAAGGGGTCTTGGGTTCGATTCCCGAGTCAGGTAAAGTGTTACTGAGTTTTTAAAAAAAAAATTCAGTAGTAGCACGGAGTTTGGAATTGTGCCCGGTATATGGCAATAGGCTCACCTCCTATTACAATGGATTCATAACATAAATAGTAAAACGTTGTACAATGGCATTAATTAGTGTCGTAATGTGCACCTCTGCCTATCCTTTCTGGAATAAAGGGGGTGATGTTATGTATATATGTATTAGAGAGACTATCTCACCTGGTACACGTAGACCCCAGATTGGCTGCACATGTAATGAGATCTGACTCCTTCAATCGTCTGCTTGCTTGCAGTGGTCTTCCGAAATCTGTACTTCGTTTCTTCTTGAATAGCGCTTTTGAATATCATGAAATCTGTGAAAAATTGAAAGTTATAATAATTGCTCAAAAAAAATTACTGGACGGATGGCGCGGTGGTTGGGCAACTGACTGCCGCGCAACGTGTCGCAGGTTCGATTCCCGCACGAAACAACTTTTTGTGTGATCCACAGATTTTTGTTCCGTGTCTGGGTGTCATGTGTATATGAACTTGTGAATCAGCCACCGCGCCAACCGTGTAGTCGGAAGCGACCTTCATACAACGACTATGCGTTCTCCTTGTGGGTGGATGTCCAGCGCTGTGCTTCGATAAGAACAGCGCCACGAATGGCGAGCTGGTCAAGTAAAAGACGACCAGCAGTTGCGGAAAGGACTCCAGCATTTTTACCCTATGTAAAGTGAAAGGAGTAACCGACACCATCGGACACCTGTTACGCCGTAGATACAGCATCAGGACGATATTCCGCCCACCTGGTCAGTTACGACATCTACTGCGCTCGCCCAAGGACAAAGATCCGCTGGCAGTTCCCGGAGTATACATGATACCGTGCGTACCATCGTAATCAGACATAAGGAACACATAAGCAGTGTGAAAAACCGTGACACTCATACACCCTATCCCAGAATCATCAAAATCCCCAATTCTAAAATCACAACGCCTGTAAGCCAGGATCTACAGTAGATATAACCATGCAAACACTAGAACACTGCAGTCCACAGTCCTAGGGACATGATGTTCATCTGCCTTGGATCCCGCAACGAAATAAATCAGAAGATATTAATAGAGGAGGAGAAAAACAAAATAGTTTCCACTTCCCTCGGTTAATTGAAAGCAGTAGACAGAATGACATAAGCTTGCTTGCTTGCCACAATGGCTGCGAGCCCACAACCGCGGCAGGTGCGGAATAAAATCGCTTCGTGAGTCGTTAGTCTAAAAATGTAATTTTTTTATGGCATATGTCGAGAAGTAAACGAGCAGACGGATCACCTGATGGAAAGCAATCGGCGTCGCCCATGGACACCTGGAACACCAGAGGCGTTACAAGCGCGTTACCGGCCATTTGGGGATTAGGAGTTTGAGGATCATTGGAGATTCGTGGATTGGGGAGATTGGGGAAGGGGAGGATAATTGGGCCTCTGGTAACCTCACTCACACGACGAAACACAACGCAAGCGTTACTTCACGTCGGTTTTCTGTGAGGCCGTGGTATCACTCCGGTCGAGCCGGCCCATTCGTGCCGAAGCATGGCTCTCCCACACTTGTTGTTGTATGTACTATATATATGTATGTTTTAGAAGCAGATGACTTACCGTCCATATTATGAAACTCCAATTGTTCCACTTGCTCGTGTACTCTATGCGCATGTAGGAGATGAGCGCTGAAGTTTGATCCGTAACTGACCCTTTCATCACATAGGGGACAGATGAATGCCTTGCGCTTTTCCACCTAAGGATACCAGTAATATGAAAAAACAATGTTAAAGGGTTACAATGAGCTCTATTCTACCAATCAAGCCTTTACGTTTGATATCCATAGTGACGATAGTTGTGGAAACAATTAGATAATATTGTTTGGACGTCAAGATTAAGAGTGTGTACCAAATATCAGATCGATCTGTCGTCAGAAAGAGGGTGAAATTTCAATTACACCTAAACAGACAAACTGGGCAAGCTAAATAAATCGTTTAATAATTAGTAGTTACGTATTAAAAATTTATATGATAAAGACACCCCTACACCCCACACCCATCCCGCAAATATCGTACGAACCAACTGAGAGACTATAGCGATTTGTATTTAAAAGAAACTACTTATAAGCAGGAACATAACATAACAACACAGAAGACCCCCTCTGTGATTGTGCAGCGGTGCACATTACGGCACTTAACTCGTCGAGTACCGGTTTTATAGACACAATTAAAGAACAATAGGTCGCGGTCACCGGTGACCGCTTGGTGTTTGACAGTTTAATGCCAGTGTACAATGTAACACCCACTTTTCACTATTTATGTTATGAGTCCCATGTAATAGGGGGTGAGCATATTGCCCTATACCGGGCACATTACCAGGCTCCGTGCTACTATAGATTTTTTTAAAACCTAGTGAAACTTTGCCTGGCCTGGGAATCAAACCCGAGACCCTTTGCCCAGCAGTCGCACTTGCGACCATTCGGCCGACGAGGCAGTCAGCTATGAGCATTGTGCACGACTTCTTATAAATAACATGCTTGGGAAGGGCTGACAGCCTGTGGCAGGTTATTGCTGGACAATAAGCCCCTTCTACATAAGAGGGTTTGCCATATTCTCCGCTGACAGGCATGTTGGAGATCACAGTATAAAAGGTTCAGGTTTATCAGAGAGCGCTGCTGCCCGGTCTCTGTCAAATGTGTAGTCACTTAGTCGGGTTATACGACACCGCAGGTAGAGTAGTAGTAGTAGTCCTTTCCATTATCGTACCATAAGACAATCGGCGAATCGTCACCGATTTATGGTAGAAGTCCCACTCACACGCACGAAACGCTTCGCATCAAGCTTCCTTGTGCGTACTGCTGAGGAGTGGAATTTTTTGCGAGTCTGTGTTTTCTGAAGGGTATAACCTGGGTATCTTCAAGGCCCGAGTGAATAGGTTGCTTATGGGACGACGAACTCCATCGTAGACCGTGTCATCGCTTACCACCAGGCGAGATAGTGGTCAAACGTCGCCCCATCAAATATAAAAAAAAAGAGTATGGTGAGAGACAAACGATGCTATGTACTTACCTCAAATCCATGGGCCTTCCACAGATGCTTGTTAAGTATCTGTTTCTGACTAAAATCTCGGTTACACATGTGACACTTCTTGCGTTCTCTCGGCACATATTTTGGAGTCTGCTCGTTGCAAAGTTTCACTAAAAACCGTAAAATTGAGATCAAATCGCTTTGATATTAAGATTTCGGATCTTTTGAGGAGTTGTGTGGCAAAAGAGTAGTCACCTGATGGTAAGCAATTAGCACCCATGGACACCCAAAACATTAGAGAAGTTTTAAGTGTGGGAGAGCCATGTTTCATTTGCGTTGTGTTTCGTCATGTGAGTGAGGTTACCGGTGGCCCAATTACCCCCTCCACCTCCCCAATCATTCTAATCCCTGAATCCCCAACAATCCTCAAACTTCTAATTCCCAAAAGGCCGGTTACGTATTTGTAACGCCTCTGGCGTTCCAGGTGTCCATGGGTGACGCCGATTCCTTACCATCAGGTGATCCGTCTGCTCGTTTACCGGCTTATCTCATAAAAAAGTGCGTTCCTAATGTTAGACACGAAGACGAGAGTGGGTCATCATGTGTCCTTTTTGCATACTACGTATATAACAATGAGACCCTATGTAGCTTAAAATTAGGCGAGTTACCTTGTCAAACAGTTTACGTTAGTAAACTGTATAATATAAATAATTTTGTACTATATAAAAATACTAGCTTTTACCCGCGGCTTCGCTCGCGTCACAAAAAGATAAAAAGTAGCCTGTGACATATACTAATACACACAGCGCCATCTATACCAATACTTTTGTTTTACCTCGGGAATATCAAAATTTTCCGGGATAAAAAGTACCCTATTATTTAATCCGGACTTCTAACTTTACATCTGCGAAAATTCGAAGCAATCGGTTTAGTAGTTACGGCGTGAAAGCGGAACAAACAAACAAACTCACTTTCCGATTTATAATATTAGTAAGGACTAGTAAGGATTTAAGACCGCGCCGATTGCTTATCATCTAGTGATCCGTCTGCTCGTTTGAAGCACTATATCATAAAAAGTACTTACTTTCTGTCATAGGCAAATTAAACCGAGACAGCGACCTAGGCAAGCACCTCATTGGCGCCCCTAATTCTTTTTGGCGTCACCGTCACTATGGGCAGTTGAGCACGCGCGTCTCGCGGCGCCCCTCTGTAACCTGGCGCCCGGCACTTGTCTAGAGCGCCTTAGAGATAATACGGCTCTGCTTTTTGTCCTACTTACATCCATGCTTCATCCGTAAATGCGTAAAGCAAGCCTTCTTGCTGACGTAAATGTTGTCACAGAAATGACATGGGTATTTACGACCCTCCGGATCAGATTTGACGCCATGACACCTAGAAAGCCAGGAGAAATTGTATATTCCTTGCATTATCATCATCGTCAGCCTATAACTGTCTCGAGCAAAGACCTCTACTCAAACAGCCAAGGTTTGAGCATTAATCACCACGCTTGCTCAATGCGGGTTGGCGAGTTCAAACTTATACTTACAAATTATAAGCCCAGGTTTCCTCGCGATGTTTTCCTTTACCGTTTGTCAGTGGTGTCTAAATAATCTTAGACATATAAGGATTTAAAAAGGGTTACGATTAAAAAACCTCATGGGGAAACCTGGGCTTATAATTTCTAATTAGGTATAAGTTTGAAATCGCCAACACGTATTAAGCAAGAGTGGTGAATAATGCTCAAACCTTCTCCGTATGAGAAGAGGCTGTTGCTCAGCTGTGCACTTATAAGCTGCTGAATCCTCATCAACCCACTAACCTGTTATGATGATCAGCAGGGTCCCTCAAAGCGACTCCACACAGAGAACATTCTCTTAACGGGAGTCCTGTCCTGGGTTCCAGCTCATGGACCGTCCGTATATGATCATGAACATCTTCAACTGTCGCTAGTTGAAGATCACAGTATATGCAGGTTGTCTCATCAAGAGCTTGGATTGCGTGCTCATCATCTAAATCTTAGGAAAAGGGGGTTAATTTACTACAAAGGTACTCAGAGGCTTTGAATGATTACTCAATCTGTTCCTCAGTACAGTAGGTACGGTTCACGAGTTATGGCGGGTGTAAAGTTAGCTTCAAGTCACTTTCGCGCATAGATACTCGCAAATAAATTGATTAAACACTGCCGGGCAAAGAGTCTCGGGTTCGGTTCCCGGGTCGAGCATGTATTATTGGGTTTTTTTAAATTCTCAGTAATAGCACGGACCCTGGAATTGTGTCCGGTATATGGCAATAGGCTTACCCCCTATTACACGGGACTCATAACATAAATAGTGAAAAGTGGGTGTTACATTGTACAATGGCATAATGCACCTCTGCCTACCCCTTCGGGGATAAAAGGCGTGATGTTATGTTATGACTAAGCATTAAACGATTGTGTTTAATTAACAATGAAGCGACCGACGCGTTTCTGTTTAAGCTATGGAATTCTAACGACTGTCGCGCGGCTAAAGTCGTCTAAAATCTGAAAGACCTTTTATAAGTTACTTGAGCCAGAAAATAGCCGATAGGTAGTCGTTTTCTCGTCGGCAGTGAGACAAGTACCTTAGTAACAGTTTAAGTGTGGGAGAGCCATGCTTCGGCACGAATGGGCCGGCTCGACCGGAGTGATACCACGGCCGAGCAGAAAACCGACGTGAAGCAACGCAATTGCGTTAGGTTTCGTCGTGTGAGTGAGGTTACCGGAGGCCCAGCTCCCTCCCCCCGTCCTCAATCTCCCCAATCCCCGAATCCCCAAAAATTCTTAAACTCCTCCCCAAAAGGCCGGTAACGCACTTTTAAGGCTTCTGGTGTTCCAGGTGTCCATGGACGACGCCGATTGCCACCACGCAATCCACGCAATTGACGCTGATTGATACCATCAGGTGATCCGTATGCTCGTTTACGGCATATGCCATAAAAAAGTAACCATTAAAATGGTTCTGAAAAAGACAAGAGAGGTTAAATGAATGAAGTTTCCTCACCATCCATTTCTTCATCCTCTCCATCTGAAGTAGACTTTAAAATCTCCAATTTCTTTTCATTATTACTGCTTTCAGCTTCTTCTAGAATAGATTCGTCTAAATATTCTTCATCTAGTAAAATTAAGAACTGTTTTATTTCTTAACAAATAGACATAGGTACCTAATGTAAAATAATACATTATGGAACGAGCACCTAGGTTCACTGACGGACAGACTGACAGACTTTTTTTATGACCGACGTTTAACCACTATCTCGCCTGGTGGTAAGCGATGATGCGGTCTACGATGGAGCACGTTGTCCCATAAGCAACCTATTCACTCGGGCCTTGAAGACACCCAGGTTATACCCTTCAGGAAATACAGACTCTGGCAAATTTGTTGAAAGCCAAAAAAAAAACAAAGAATTAATTTAAAAAAAATAAATATCGAAAGCTGCAAACCTTACCTTTAACATTTTGAAGCATATTCAGGCTTTTAGTAGTCTGGATTTTAAATGACGTAGATTTTTCCAAATTCTCTACGCATTCAGAACATATATATTTCAAATTATTAGGGACCTGAAATAAATTATTAATTTTACTAATTTTACTTAAAGGCTCGTACCTACACAAAACTGCGATGCGATGCAAATTCGCAACGCAAAAAAATTACGACTCGGATTGCTGCGATGCGATTTCGTCCGACAAGGCGTCTCCCAGGGTGACCACTCCTTCGACGACCGTCAACCGTAGGTACTAAACGTATTTTAAATTGAAAACTGGGTTGTGACATTGTTCGTAAAAAGAAGTGTGCACTTCTGTTATTGCTTAGGAGATACAGGAAAAAGAAACAAAGAAGATTTTGGGAAGATAAGATTTCGATGCGCGATGCGATTCAATTCGCAAGTTCTTTCGATGCGTAGAGGGAGCTCGCACATTTTACAATGCGACGTCGCATCGCAGTTTTGTGTACGAGCCCTAAATGGGAATGTTTGTGTGTATGTTTGTTACTGTAATACCTTCTGCTGGCACCTTCGCACGTTTCTTGAGGGATAAAAGTAGCCTAGGTATGTTTTTACAGACCATAACGTACCGGAGCCGCGGAAGACTTAACGGGTTGCCGGGGCTCCGGCTCGAAGTGCAGGAGTATAGAGAGGTATGTAGTGTAGGAGAACGGGGTGGTTTTTAGTCAGTAAGAGTCCGACACTCCCTCTCGCCTCACCCAGGCGAGAGAAGTCATTCGATGATTTTCCCGCCTCAAAAAAAAAGACTGTAACCTACTTCTGTTCCCAATTTCATCCTGATCCCTTCAGCTGTTATGACGCAACGCCGATCTTCATCTAACGTGTAATCCCTTAGTTGGGTACACAAACCCGCGGGAAAAGTAGAGGTGGTAAATTTATTCTATGCCAAATGACTTTATACATCATTTTTTTTTTAGGGTGGAATCATCCAATGACTTCTCCCGCCTGGGTGAGGCGAGAGGGAGTGTCAGACTCTTACTGACTAAAATCCACCCCGTTCCTACTCCTGCACTTCGAGCCGGAGCCCCGGCAACCCGTTAAGTCTTCCGCGGCTCCGTGACTTAATATACCTAATGATAAAAACCCAGACAGATCGGTGTCTAGATATTTATCTTTAATATTCATATACCGTTATCAATGTAATTTAAAAGCCATATCCTGTAATTAGATACGTCATTTCCGGATTTAATTGAAGTACAAACAAGGACGTTGAAAAGATAAATAATATTAATTGTTTGGTACATCCTCTGTTAAGTGATTCGACTTCTTATAGGAATCGCGGAGAACCTAACGGGTTACCGGAGCTCCGGCTCGAAGTGCAGGAGTAGGAACGAGGTGGTTTTTAGTCAGTAAGAGTCTGAGGTCAGTCACTCCTTCCCGCCTCACCCAGGCGGGAGAAGTCATTCAATGATATTCCCCCTTAAAAAAATAGGTCCCCTATACTTAATAAACTCTTTGAGGTAATGACAGGTAGTGACAGGACAAAATGTCGTGGTGGCCCGGAGGTTTAAGAAGCCCGCTTCTCATGCATGAGAACGCGGGCTCGAACCTATCAACGGCAAGTACCAATATGACTTTTTCCAAATTATATGTAGGTCCTTTCTAAGATTACTAGCGAACCCGACAGACGTTGTCCTGCATATAATATAATAATAATATAATAATAGGTAAAGATAAATAACCTAGCAACTGAGTGCAGCGCCATCTGCCGGGCTGATTTGAATCTAAACCATTCCCAGATCCCCTTGAACATACTCAAAAAAATTCATCAAAATCGGTCCAGTCGTTTGAGAGAAGTTCAGTGACATACACACTCACAGAAGAATTATATAATTATGTAAAGAATTAGACACGTGATGAATGAAAGTAAAATGGTTCTGTCTCGGAAATACAATAATGTTACAAAGAAATAGAAAAAAAGACTGGTGAAATGGTGAACCTTTGCAAAAAGCAAACTCCGAAAGCGCATCATAAGTAGTACATTATCAAAACATCACGTCATGTCATTCTCGAAAATGTATTTCTCGCGAGGTCGGAAGCGACTCATATTATGTGTGTGTATGGATGGAAACTATAAAATAATAATAAAAAATAGTTAAATAAAAAATCGAGGAATATTTTATTTAAATGGCTCTCATTCAGTCTGAAAGATGGGGAATGCGACGCTCTTTTTGTAAAGGTCTAATCTTGACATTTTCCGTAAAATTCTACGTAACTATGTATAATATCAGAAATCGATAATGAAACACGAAATTCGGTAAATCAAATCTGTTAAAAACGTGCATTATTCTATAGAATTGATGAAAATTTTATCACAATTTGTTTCACAAGCGATATCTATCATAGCTAATTTATTGAAATTATAAATTTGTTTTAAAGGGTTTTAGCTACTTATCTAACTAAAACTAAAGTTATAATCTATTAATCTACAAGTAAACAAAGAAATAAGGTTTCAACAAAGGATTTAAGGATAGTAAATAATAAAATAAAAAGCTGTAATATAACCTTAATATCGAAACAGGTTTCAAACATTTTTGCATAAGTCTCCGTGTTCTCCGCGTACAAAGCAAATAGGTCGCATAAATCGTTTGTGTTCATGCAACTGATGCAACCTACAAACTCCTCGTCCTCCATTTTATTTTGATATATTTTTATTTATTCACAAACTAAGGAGGCCTGCCATGTTTTACGATTTCAAAAATTCAAATGAAAATTTTTTCACAGAAAAAATAATTGAATATCGCGCGGCTTAGTGACGTTGCCGTTCAATGTTGCATTGTTAAATCAATCGATATTGAGTTTTAATTTATCATTTTTCAATTTTTTTAAGAATAATCCCAAAAAAGTGAAAGAAATTATTTTACGTCATGAATATGTTAGTTTGACTGGATTAAAACATAAAACAATGTGATAAACAATTGCTTTTATTTGTAAATTAATATTAAAGCAAAAAGAAAGCCGGGAAATGTTCGATTATGATTGCAAGTTGAGGTCATTCACGTCACTATTGATGTGAGTGATTCTTTATTTAATTTTAGCATACGAAAGAGAAAATGCTATATTAATGCAATGATGTAGATAGAGATAGAAAATATTGATAACTAAACGTCATCGTTTTGTGCATATAATGATGTTTGAGATAATTATTACCAACATTCATAAAATTCCCCTGTTTTTGGGAAATATTAATTTGGATGTTATTTATTAATTAATTTTTTTAATGCTTATTTTTTAAACATGTATGTTAGTTTTGGTAATTTCATACCAACAGGTGAGTAATATGTGTAAGTATATTAATGAAGTAAATACAAATAAAGTAAAAATCAAAAACTAATTTTTTTAACCCTTATGCCGCTTCATTCATCTATGAACCATATTCATTTTTTAAATATAATTAATTATGTTTTACATCACACTTTATTATCCAGGTCTACTCTGAATACCTTATCGAGGTAGTTACTCTGAAAGCAATCGCAATACCTTAAGAATATTTTCTGATAAGTACCTTATGTATTATGACTATTTATGACAAAAAACTTAAAATAATGAGAATATACACAGTATGTAAACCATAAAAAATTAACTGATATTTTGAAATGTCAGTTGTATTTATATCAGTCTTATTTTGATTTAATAATTATTAATAATCTTAAGGTTTTGTATGATAAGAACCTGTTGCCACGGCTCGCCTTCATATCAACAACTATGCCAAGAGATTTATATAACACAGTTAACGTTTTAACACATTATTCAAGACATTGGTCTACGGAATATTTGTTAGGTATCTCTTATTATAATTTTCAAGTAATTCTGTGGGCCGATCCCGGCGGCACTGCAATGCCGGGCCGACCCGTGACGGGAGTGGAGCGAGCCCCGAACATCCCGTCAGTTTACAAAAATCAGTTTAATATACTGGTCCCTCATTGAGGGAACTTTCAGATATTAAGCTGAAAAGAACAGATACTACACTTTGATCTTAGCCAAAAGGCCGAGAAGCGATGCCTGTACTGTCGAGGCTGGCGAGGGTCATTCATTCGCGGAGAATCTTAACACCGCGATTCAGAAAATGACGTCACAGCACAGTGACATCTCTCTTTTACTGGGCGGTACTACCACCGCAAGTTAACCTCTATCCATACCTATTGTATAAGGACAAATATCATGCTTTTTTTGATGACTCGTACGGAGTTGATACAGAAATAATATACTAAATCGTGCTTGTAGTCTATACCAAAATTTGTGAAAAGTAGAAGCGAATGACGCAAAATTAAAATATTTTTACTCCTTGTTGTACTATAGAAAATCAATTGTACTATAAAGGAGAATTAAATTACATTTATGTCCTGTTTTCACTATCACCTTAGCTGAGCATGTTAAAAGTATAGGCATTTTTATCAAGCCAAATCCATGACAATTTTAAGTGTTTAGTCATGTTTATCACCTACGTACGCGATGATGTGTAAGCATCAAATTGGTCAAATCCTCATTCATCAAAAAGGCGTTAAACGGTTAAATTACTCATGTGTTGATATTTTTTGTAATATCTGTATTGGTATAATAATTGTAAACGGTGTTTTATTTTAACTAAATGTCTATATAAAAGATTTCATCTCTTATTTCCATAAAATATAATATTTAAATAGTATAAGGAAAAGAAAAAGAAATAGGTAAGTACAACTTAAAGTTAAAACTAATAGAGAAAAAACGGTGTTTGTCTTTAAAATAATTTATTGTTGTTATTTTTTTAATTTACGTCTTAAAGATCTACATATTTCATATTTATTGCGCCATCTAGTGACCCAATAAAAGTAATTAATACATAAAGCGCCACGACGTTGACGGGTTAAAACTCCGATTATTATTTTTACTATTTCGCAATGTTTGGATAGCTTTTTAAAGTAGTATATTTTCTCTATATATTGGAATATATTAATATAATAATGTATTATTGTAAATTGGTTTATAGATAACAACATATTTTTATTACCAAATAATATCAAAGTTGGTAATTTTGTAAATAACACTAGCAACACCAAACAGCTGACTATAAACGTAGCAAATGTCAGTTTTATTATGACTTAACAACAACAAGCTGTATTTTCCTCTGTAGTGTTTACTCAGACAATATAATCAATGAGTTAGTCGCGTCTCGACATGCGATAACGTTTTAATATAAGTATTATCTTCAGTCGTCTCGTAATTCTTTATGTGAACAATGATATCAGTGTTTAGACTTCATTTCAGTGCAGTGTTAGTTATAGAAAGTTGTTATTGGAGTTAGAACCTGTATTTACATCGAAACAACTATGCCAAATGCGTTCGTTGACCTATTGTTGATGAAAAAATAACGTGATTTAAATATCGATACAAGGCTGTATGTGAAGTCGCTTTGTAGTTAAAACAATGAAATTAAAAATAGACAGAGGGCTCCTGCCCATAAAGGCGCACTTTTTCTTTTTTTTCGCGGGTGAGTATTGTTTTTTTAATTCATTTTTTTTTGTCTATTGTTGAGCAATATAATATAGGAACTAATTTCATTAGTTAAATAATTTTGTTAAAATTTTTAACTTAAAAGTAGTGTCCATGATATAAAATATACAGAAAAAAGGCATGAATTATTAATGAATGTTATGTTAAATAGATTCTTAACGTAGCTGTGGCGTCACTTTTATCCGTACAACAACATTCATTGTCCAAACTAAACAGTAAAATGATTGACAATTTTGTGAATAATTATTACCTACCATAACCAATTAAAATGCTTTTTTATCATCATATAACGATAATGTTTATCACTTAATTATTAGTTTTTGTACATGCAATATAAGTTTATAGCTGTATTTTATTTGATAACATAACAATATTACATTTTTCTTTCAAAAGCAGTTAGCAACATCCATTTCTTACCAGTATGTTATTTTACTAGCTAATTCCGTCTGGCTTCACCCACTCCTTGGCTTCTTTTGATCATAGCATTATGTTTTATAGCCTATAGCCATCTTTGATACCTAAATGAGCTATCTAACACACAAATAGTTTATCAAATCAAACCAGTAGTACATACCTGAGTTAAATGCATTCATACGAACAGATTATTTTATTTACTGCATGAGTGAAGGATATTTACAATTTATTTCTAAAGTTATGAGTGTTTTGTCTTGGCTTGTAATCTTGATAATTATAACTATTTATATTTAATGTATTTAATGGGCAGACTGTGAGTCTGCCATAATTAGCTATCTAATCTAAAATAACTAGTAACTCCTCATGAACTCCTGATAAAATAATTACCTAATATAAATAACAAATAATCTTATCTACTAAAGAAAGCAGTCCTTTTTCTTGTTTAATTAAAAGTGTAAAATTTGACCTTAGTAATATATTTATACTTAGACTTAATACATATTTGTGTTGAATTCATTTCTGGCTCATTATCACGATACTAAATCTTTAGTAGACTTCGGTGTCAATTTATGGTGTATTATTATGTAATAGCATATCTAAAGTTAATTTAAAATACATCCGCAGTACAGGGAATTGTATAAAATGAATGGTTATAAAGGAATTTAATTTAAAAAAATGACATCCACCAAAATCCATATTCTTATCACCGAAATCATATCAAATAATTTACTTATATTATAAACTAGCTTCTGCCCGCGACTTCGTACGCGTAATCCCATTTTTTCTCGTCTCCGTTCGTGATTATCGGTAAAGAGTAAAAAAAAAATTGGTTGAAAAGTATCCTATGCCGGTCTCCTGGCTCTAAGCTACCTCCCTACGAATTTTCAGCCAAATCTATTCTGCCATTCTTGAGTTATAAGTGGTGTAACTAACACGACTTTCTTTTATATATATATATAAGATATTGTGTAGGTATTCTAAATATTATTATGTAGGTACCTACGTATTTTAAATCTACATAAATATCATAGTAAGAAACAGACAACGAGATTTTTTTTAATCCCCTCATTTTTATCAAACAGTTACTTTTTTGTAGCTTCCAGACAAGCCAGGCTGAATGTAAATTGGGTCATTGCCACAAAAACATTTGTGTAAAAAAATATAAGGGACTGTTTCACGATAATAACGCCATCTTGGAATATAGCGCGCGCTTTTAAATTACAAGTTAAAATCTACTTTATTTTCTTACTAATAAAGTAAAAATTCAAATAATAGGTAGTATTTTCTGGTTAGATAGTACAACTAGCCCTTCTTGTAGATTATACAACCTATTTTAAGTTTTAATGCTTTGTAATAAGAATGATATTAGACTGCCAAAACCAACTTTGAAATGGGGTTCTGGTGTTCCTTAAGCTCATCGTCATACAGTTCAAAATTGATTGATTTAACTGTTACGAAAGGAATGTCATATAAAAAACGTAGTTACCTGAACATTTTTGTCCAGAAGAAAACATAGATGAACTAACCCTAAGGACAAGATAAAAGTTATTTTGAATCTTATCGCTAAAAGAATAGGGTGCAAAAACGATCGTAGGTAACTACTTTACCGTTGATTTACCTAATTTTTATACATTAATTTGTGCCATAGTATAAAGATTTCTTTATACTATGTTTGTGCATTAGTAACCTGTGTTTATACATCACAGGTTACTGGAGGCCCAATCTTATCATCTAAAAAGTCAAAGTCAAAGTAGTTAAAATCATTTATTTCAATTAGATCAGAATGGCACTTATGAACGTCAACAAAAAATTAAGGTGTAAATTCCAATGGAGAAGAACGAGCAAGAAATTCCATAGGTTACTCTTTTTCAATCAGGTTCACAATACAATTCTGCAATAACATAGTTTTATTGGTTCGATTGTCCGAGAACAATGTAGGTAACACCAAAATCCAGTTTAGGCGAGAGAGTATCAGACTCTTACTGACTAAAAACCACCCCGTTCCTACTCCAGCTTCAAGCCGAAGCCCCGGTAACCTGTTAAGTCTTCCGCGGCTCCGATCATCAAATCCCTAAGCCTAGACTCTGTAGACTCATGAATGAGTCATAGGTAGGGTTGCCACTACTCTAAAATAAAATAGAGTATTAACATCTATATCATGTAGACGTACTCTATAATCAATAAAACTTCACTACTTACTACACACTTCAAATCACTAGAAATATTAACATTACCCTCTATGTATATACTGCAAACAGCTGTATTTGTAAAACAAAATCCTCACTTATTTCCAAAATTGAGCTCTGTCAGGAATGTTCCCATACGCGCCCAATCTTATACTCTTATATTTATACTTACTATTATATTTGGAAGAGTTTGTTTTTTTGTTTGTTTGAACGCGCTAATCTCCGAAACTACTGATTAGAATTGAATAATTCTTTTGGTGTTGGATAGTCCATTTATCGAGAAAGACTATAGGCTATAAAACATCTCGCTACGACCAATAGGAGCCGAGCAGAGCGGGTGAAACCGCGCACAAGTAGCTAGTGTGTTAATAAACTAAGTCAAGTAAAAAGTAAAACAGCACTTGTACAAAATGTACAAAAGTTTGTTTGGTAATGCTCCTAGAATTTATAATAAGATAATGTAGATCCCAGTGAAATAAAAAACATAACCATATAAACATAACAATACGCCTTTTTATCCCCAAAGAGGTAGGCAGAGGTGCACATTACGGCACTTAATTTAATGCCACTGTACAGTGTAACGCCCACTTTTCACTATTTATGTTATGAGTCCCACGTAATAGGCGGTGAGCCTATTGTCATATACCGGACACAATTCCAGACTCCGTGCTATTATTGAGATTTTTTTAAAATCCAGTAATAATTTGCCCGACCCGGGAATTGAACCCGAGACCCCTTGCCCGGCAGTCGCATTTGCGACCACTCGGCCAACGAGGCAGTTTATTAAACAAATGCTATTACTTTGCTATTAGAATTCCCTAATGATAATATTTCTTGACAATTTTAAATTTATTTTTTGACAATTTTAATTGACATAATTTTGACAAAAGTACTTAATTTTGACAAAAGTACTTAATTTTTTTTTGCAAAATTTATTTGAAATTTTAATATTCTAATAATGTTTCTAATCTAGGTTCCTAATATATGTCTATTACGGTAAAACATAGTGGACCATCTTTATATGTATGTAAACTACCTATGTTTAACAAATAAATGATTCTAATTCTGATTCTGAAATAGGCTTTACTCTATTTCTGCTAAAAAAATTGGCAACCCTAGTCATAGACAACGCGAACTCCCGTTCCCTTGTGTACACGGCACATTGTGTCATTAAAAACAGATCGGAAACTTATGTCACAGCGGCGACGGTTTAGTCCCGCAGGGTCATGATCAATTTCAATTATATAATCTGTGCCCCAGTGAAAATACACGGTTGCACTTCAAGCAATACATAACCAATTTATCATGGTCTCACTTCGTTTGGTCTTTCGATACATTGGACGGTCAGCTTATACTGGTTTTTATAACTTCGTTGTGCATATTTTATCGCTTCTATCGCTTATACCACGGGGAGTGCTCTGAGGAATTGTTTGACCTGATACCTTTTTTTTATGGCATAAGCCGGTAAACGAGCAGACGGATCACCTAATGGTAAGCAATCGGCGTCGTCCATGGACACCTGGAACACCAGAGGCGTTACAAGTGCGTTACCGGCCTTTTGGGGTTTGAGGATCGTTGGGGATTCAGGAATTGGGGAAATTGGGGATGGAGAGGGTAATTGGGCCTCAGGTAACCTCACTCACACGACGAAACACAACGCAAGCGTTGCTTCACGTCGGTTTTCTGTGAGACCGTGGTATTACTCCGGTCGAGCCGGCCCATTTGTGCCGAAGCATGGCTCTCCCACACTTAAACAAACCTGCCGCATCTTTTCGCCATCGACCCTCACGACAGAATATGCAACCCCACCATATTTTTTTTTATTTATTTATTTTTTTTTTTTTTTGAAGGGGGGAAAATCCCGTTAAGTCTTGCGCGGCGTATAAGACACATATTTGACAGAGACTGGGCAGCAGCGCTATCTGATTACCTGAACCTTTTAAACTGCGAACACTAATAGGCCTAAATAGGTCTCAAAATGCTATCCTAGATTAGATTTTGACGTCATACGGGTTCCGATGTAGGATACAAATCATTTACTCAAGAGCCACTCAACCGCGGGGGGGCTAAATCATCCAATTTACACTCTAAGGTCAAATAATGACCTCTCGCGTCCGGGCCTAGTTCAGGCCATGATGCGGAGCGAGGGGGACTGGGATGCCGTCTCCTCCTTTTGCGAAGCAGTCATGCTGGCTAAGGAGGAGGCGGGACGCGTGAGGCAGCGAAGCGCTGCCTCCTCGCAACCCAGCCATCGCGAAGGACACACCGGGCGTCGGGGATCGCGGGACGATCTCCGGCCACCGTAAGCGCGGGCCTGCGGACGGCGAGCATGGGTGGCTCCCCGTCCGACCAGAAACAGACCCGAGCGTACGGCGCG